TTACAGCTTGAAATCTCTACTTTCCAAATTGAAGCAAAAAGGACCATTTTTGCTTTAATGTTGAATAACTCGATGAAAAAAAATCGTACAACGCTCAACAAAAAAGCAAATTAAAGGTAAAGATTCACTCTTTCGAAAGCTGTAAACTGTATTTGCATGCGATTTTTAATTCGCGCCATGGAACTTGTCAAAGTTCGTAAAAAATTTTGAGATTCGTCGGGTCTCCTTTTCTATCCGTGTAATTCTATGAAAGATCAGTAGGATCGTTTTCTAAAGTACCGATTTAGAAAGTAGAGATTTCAAGCTGTAATATGCTTTTTTGAACATCTCGATACGATTGTTTTTGACGAAGTTACACTCTCTTGAATTTTGCCTATTTTTGGAGGGTAGAGTAAGTGATGCTTTAATTTTGTTGAGAAGTGTATTTATTTAATTGAAACTTAATAACCGCTAATCGATTATTAATGATTTGTTACATTATGAAGAAAAAAGACACAGAAAATAGACTTTTACACAAAGATTTTGATTTTTAGAATCAAATATTCGCGGGATAAACGTGTACTCTTTACACCCTGGTATTATTGAGACCAAAATAATTCAGCATCTAAATCAGCATCTAGATAATATATTTCCAGGTGCAACTTTTCTTTATGGTTTGTATGCAAACTTATTTGGTAAAAATGTTATACAAGGAGCACAAACAACAATATATTGTGCAATGGATGAAGAAATAGCCAATGATACTGGACTTTATTATTCGTAAGGACATACATATATTATTTACTATGCAAAATTATTTTTATGCAGAGTATGATGCAGTTCTGTGTTGTCATCTTTTATCTTTTTTCTCTGTATAGAAACTGCAGAGTCGCTACTACATATCGGAAGGCAAACGATCCCCAAACTGCCGAAAAGTTGTGGAATGTATCGTGTCAACTTTTGCATTTGAAACCAGAAGAAAATTTCACCACATTTTTGGAAACTGTTTCACGTCACATGCTCTAAAAAGATTTCTTTTTTTATCGATGAATTATCTAACAAAAGAATTACGTAAAGTACAGTGTCGAGTTATTTGCATGAATAATGCGGTCTTGTTATCAAAAAATTTTATTTACAATATTGGATCTATAAATTCGCTTTAAATTTTTCATGGTTTTAATGATTCCTGTTGAAGGGAATTTTAATCCTGTAATGGCTTTAATTATAATGTTATTATAAAAAGCCTTTAAATCTTTTTCTTGCGCGACTTTGTTTAATCTTTGTCATAAAAGCAAAATAGAAAATTAAAAAAGCGATGTAAAATTCAATCTAAGATTGTCAACAGGTATTAGTTAACGCGAAAAAAGGCGCAAAAAAGGCACAAAAACAAGACATTTATTGATAACAATGTTTAACAGTATTTTATCATGGATAATAAATAATTATTATCGCATTACTTACGATTATTGAATCGCGCGTATTGAAACTTCGAGGTTGTCACAAGTCAGAGAGTTACGGAACGCAAATTCTAACTGAAATAAAGAGAAATATAATCGAATATAAAATCTTATGAACCGTCAACTGAACGAACAGATTTTGTGTTACCAAAATCAAAATGTCAACTATCAATAACGGAATATCAGCGATATTTTTCGCGTTTCCTTATTTCGGGTCCAATTGTAATAATCACTGCTTTATTGAGCACTGCAGAGAAAAATAGCATATTCAGCCTATTCAGGATTTTTTAACTCAATTTTTTAATAAGAGGTAGCACTGTATGATTAGTGAGCGAAATTTAAGAACTATTTTTGTCTACAATGCTTAATAAAGCAGTAATTACTGCAGTAGTGATTTGCATGTATAATGTGATCTTGTTGTATAAAAATTTTATTTACAACATTGGATAAATAAAACACTTCATATAAATACGTTTTATTTTTTATGGTTTTAATAATGATTGTTGTTGACGAAATTGTTTAATCCTATAATTAAATAATCTTTTTAATGAAACCCCTTAAATCTTCTTTTTTTTATTTTTTTTATAACGCGACTTTGTTTAATTCTTGTCGCGAAAGCAAAATGGAATATCAAAAGAGCGATGTGAAATTCAATCAGAGACTTTCATTGCTAAATATTAGTTAACGCGAGAAAAGGCTATCTATAATCTTGAGCTCGTTTTATGGTGTCATATATCGGAATTGTGGATGATCGTTAGTCGATTTCGTGATATAAATATATAGATTAAGATTGCTCTTATGTTCTTATATTATAAGTATTATATTATAAGTTCTTATATTAAAGAAAGATATTTTATTACATTTCGATGTATTGTATTCTTTTTCTAATGGAGCACAGACGCTAAATATCAAAAGATAGCGAATGAACAGTCCATACATATTGTGTCTATAATTTTTATACCAACTAGCACTACAGGCGCGCGTTTCGCGCGAGCTATTTAACACTTCTTAGTTCTTACTATAATTTACAATTACACATCAATCTGAACACACACAAAGTTCAAAATGCAATTACACGAAGTAAGCGCAGCGAGACAACCAATCGGCATCGCGGAAAAGCAACAACAATAAATTTCGAGAAATGCGAATAATCGACTTTTTATGCACTTTTTTTTAGGAGGAAGAGGATAGTTCACTTACGATGACTTTATTGCATCGAACAGCATGCATTCAGATTGTTCGGACGTGCATGCGTTATGACTTGACCTTAGTACTGTACTCGATAATATGACGTTGCAGAACAAATTTAGCAATGAGACTCCACTTACTTATATACTTCACCTCATACTTATACGTCTATCGTTCTACTCTTTATTTAATCAACTAATAAAATTAAAAGCTGATATTAATTTTTGATGTGTGATAGGATCACATTAAATAACAAACGTTTTTTAAATATTCAATACTGCTGAAGTATCAGCGACTATTTTAATAATAAAAATGACATGATTTGAAATCTAAGATCGGAAGAGCACACGTCTGAACT